CTACACGACAATCAGTTTCCTGGTCAACAAAGACAGAGCAGACCCCTTGTGGGCTATTAGCAAGGTCAAGGCCAATGGTCTTCAGGCGCCAAAGATTCCTGCCGGAGACCTCGTCTCCAAAGTTACTACCAGAGCAATCGCCCCTCTCGTAGCTTCTGCCCTCGAGCATCTGGCCATCGGAAAAGCCTTTGGCCGGAAGAATAACTACGCAATCGACGAAAGCCAAGAGCTCTGTTATCTCGGTATCACAAACACCATCAACAGCCTTTTCGGAGCAATGAGCGTGGGCGGTGCCATGTCAAGAACAGCTGTGAACTCAGAGTGTGGTGTCAAGAGTCCTCTCAGCGGCGCCTTTACTGCTGGTTTTATTCTTCTCACCTTGTACAAGCTTTCAGGAGCTCTGTTTTGGATCCCTAAAGCTACACTTTCTGCAATTATCGTACGTTCAAAATGCCCCTGCTTTCTTAAATCGACGCAAACTAACAGACTTTCACCAGATCATGGCGGTTATACACATCATTGGGCCTGTTTCCGTATTCTACCGTTACTGGCGTATTTCTTTAATGGACTTTGTAGCTTCGATGCTCTCTTTCTGGGTCACACTTTTTGTGTCTACAGAGATGGGCATCGCTTTTGCGGTGTTGTTCAGCATAGGATATACCCTGGTTCGATCCGCATTCCCGAAGGTCAAGACGTTCTCAGCAACAAGTGGCCAGAATCGCACAATTCAGCGAGAGCAGGCAGCTGTGCCATATGTTGCAGAAGACACATTCGTGCCCGAAGACGCCATGTTGGTTAGTTTCACAGACTCGATCTTCTTCCCCAACGCCGGCCGCATCAAGAAGTCGGTGCTTGAGTCCCTCAAAGTACAATTCGAACGACAGGAGGCTGGTGATCAGTCGCAGAGCAAGTCAGTCGATAGGTCTTGGAGTGTCGCATCGTCTAAACGCATTGAAATGTTGCGGAAGCGAGACAACGTTATGCCCTCGAGCAAGCAGATGGCTGTCATGGTCTGGGACCTGACACATGTGCCCTTTATCGACGTAACCGGAGTACAGACACTTTCCGAGTTGAAAGAGGAAACGAAACAGTATGTGGGAAAACAGATGTCACTCAGGCTGGTAGGAATGAACAGCAAAGCCCGCCGCAGATTCTCTCGCGCTGGCTGGAAGATTGTTCAAGACCGCGAGGTTGACGACTCGACTCCAGAGCACGTCGACGTTGTGTACGAGACCATAGAGGCGGCTTTATGGGATAGAGATTTTGCAGATAGGGACGAAAAGTCAGGACTCCAGGGAAGAGCATACTACAGCCCCCGGGAAGGGTCTCCGTAGTAATGAGCCGGGTATGGAGTCAGGTGTGCAGGTTGATACTCGGGCTCTCGAGGAGAGGTGATCCTTGTAAAAGTGCTCCTTTTCGTTGGCTGTGTCTTATCGTTCTGATTCTTTTATTCTCGTTGACGAGACTATGGGTTGCATGCTTGGGAACTTTGGCCTTTGGGAGAAACAATCAGGAGCCCTGGTGGCCCCTGGAATGCGTACAACAGAAAGCAAAGCAAATGATTATGATCAGATATCTTCTAATTTTGTTTACATGAAATCTCAAGAGGTTCTAAGTCTCCAGGAAGTACTTGATTTAGTTATTAATTACTTTGCGCCCACTCATTGACGTCTAACGTCACCTTGCATTACGTTTTGTCGACAAAATCCACGCGTTTGCCGAGAACCACTCAGGTACTATACTACTTGAGTGATTTCTTCTTCATTTCGCCGCATCATTCGTTTTCCCAGCCGCTCTTGTAGATTTTTAACGGCCGTGGCCCGGGCTGTTCGGGGAGTCTCCGGAGTTGCGGGGCGGGGGCTTTCCTCCGCTTGCTTCTTAAGATTCCTCTTCCCAAGCCTGTCTTGAAGAGTCTTCACCGCTGCGGCTCTGACTGTTCTCGGTGTGGCAGGAGACACCGGGGTGCTGGGAGACGCCGGTGAAGGTTCCTCCACCTGAGACCGCCGGGCATTTTCGTTCTCCTGCTGCTTAAGTGCGCGGAGACGCCTGGCAACTTTCGATTGCATTCTAGCAGCTGCCGAGGTTCGAGGCCTGGAAAAGTTGTGCACATCGGATCTCATGGACCGGACTGTCAATGTCGGGCTCGCAGGCCGTGTAGCTCGGGCCGCTACAGACGGGTGTTGGCTCGGCGGGCGTGTATTTGGCCGTGAGCTTTGCTCAGATATGACTCGACTCTCTGTCCTGTACGTAAGACGTCGCCCCTCATGGGAGCTGACACTTGATATCCTACGCCTCCGTCGTCCCTCATTTGGCAATACATTGCTGTCGGGTCGAATGCTGTTGGTAATTCCATCCGCTCTGGTTACAAGGGTTGCAATGTGTGGAAGTGAAGGAGGATGATCTGAACTGGCCTCGAAACCATAACGAGACGATCTAAATGTCGTCGTGGTGCGTGAGCTTGACGGCCGGCTAGCTTGCCTCATCTGTAAATGATAGTTTGCCTCCCAATTCCCATCCTTAGTCGAAGGCCTGTGGCCCACAAGTCTGTTTTCTTCTTCCATGGTCATTAATGGAGTCAGCGGCCTTCTGAATGGAATATCCAGAAATCGACCGTTGATAGGAGGTGATTGCATGCCGATAGCAGTCCATCTTCTTGGATCATATCTCCCTTGTTCTTCAAGTAGAGCCTGACTACGCGGAGAGTACTCAGCATGCCGAGGCATGGATGGCAAAATTACTTCGTCAGGCCGTGCCGAGGCATTAGTGGATATGTCAGAACCTCCTTGTCGCATACTGGCATGTTCACGCCATGTAACCCAATCATCGAGTGTCACTCTCCCGGTTCCTTTTGGTATCGCGCCATCTCTCGTCGGTGGCTTCCATGCAAATGCACTGGAGGACACTGGAGAATCGGGCATCAAGGCGCCGGGGCGATCCCCGAAAACAGCATTCAACGGCGTTGGCATGGATATGCTTCTGGCGTGGCGCCTAGGCATTACGTTAGTCTTGGGTTGTGTCGGGAAGAGAGATGAAGTTACTCACAAAGCTCTGGGCTGAGGCTCATGAGGATTCCTTTTCGTCAAAGTCTTGCGTTTCCGCTTCTCGGGTTTGCCTAGCGCACGGCTATTTTCGGTATGCTTCTCTCTCTTGTCCGCGAGGCTCGGCGTCATATAGATAATTCCCGGCTCGAGGTCATCCTCATCAGGGCAGGCGAGTGGATCCTCGCCTCGAATAAACCAAGCTTGTGAAATGCCCAGAGTCGCGAACGGACGATCTGCCATCTCAATAACTGCAAGTACCGCTGCGAGAGAAAACCTTGTGAAGATATGAGCGCTGAATACCCGGCCTTTTGGGGCTTTAATTACTCACAAGGAAGATATGCTGATTATGACATTAAGCCATGGGAGGTTCTCTTGAATTCCCTTTGAAAGATCCAATCCAATGTTTACAGCCACAAATATCGACAAAGTGATTGCTGCTACCCAAACGGGAAGACCTAACCGAGCCAGCAAAAAGGCAAAACCGGCAATGTATTTGCCGTATATAGTTGGAGATCCATAGTTCTTGATATACGCTGTTCGTCCAGCGACTAAATGTGTGAAGACGTAGACGAGACTCATGCAGGAAGCGACGAAGAAAACAGCTCGGCTGAGAGGATCGAGAACCTCTGTTGATTCGAGATTCTGGAACAAGACCACAGCTGATAAAGCAATACCAGCCCCGGCCGAAATGAATAATAGGATTACCGAGAGAAGAGACAATACGGGATACAGTCGATTAGCTTTCTGAGGGGTTGTTTTTGGTGGCAATGCAAGCGGCGGCACTGAAGTCGTCGCGTCCTCATAGTGCTGACTCATTAGTACTCGATTCCATCCACACAACGCAAGAATGTGTATTAAATGTCGCCCAGTGCTGGTGGTGAGAAAATTAGAATTGATCGGCTGCCACTGACGATCGACTTTGACTCAGCAGCGTCGGTGAGCGCGATCACACAAGGCAGTGTTGCCTGAACCCCAAAGGTGACATTGGAATCTTGTAAAAAACGTGATAATTCTCCGTGAGTGTTGCTTGAAGTGTAGCTGGACAGCGAAAGAGAGGGGTTTTGTTTGCACATGTTACACAGATTAGCCTTGAATCGTCTGAGTTTCTGGAGTGAGCATGACGTGTCGCCTCGTTCAGACTCGAGATCAATAACACAATCCGAAGTTGCTGAGGTTCCATCCCCCGGCAATCTAGCCGACGCATGGATGCCAACTGAGTCTCTTTGTGTGTGATCGGTTCTCATCTGATGTCCGCACCGGCATGTGAAACAATGCGATGGCCGAAATGGCCCAAACTCGCATCCAGCAAATGAGCTGCGCATAGACTCCAGAACGTTTCGGGTAGCCGGATCGAACGCTGCAACGAATGATTTGATTGCATCCTTTCTTCTTCCCTCATTTTCACATTCAAGCCGGTCGCCTCGCTAGGGCCGTTGCTGAGACGAACCTGAAGTACCCAACACTGGGCACCTTTTGGTCTTACTTGAATTCAATGGTTTCGAGGTTTTCTTCGATCCCGCTGACAGGGGTCAATCCGACGGGTTTCATAACACTGGAAGACATGGAATTCCTTTGCGCTAAGCTTGCTTCGAGCCTAGGACAGAATTTTCGTTTGCCCATGGAGAAGAGGCAACTCCCCCACAAAAGGATCTAATTGCAAAGGCCAAGCAGGGAGCCAACTCGGCCAAGAATTGCTTTTACCGGAATGGTCTCAGAACAGTCAAGCTCAGTGACTTTAGCTACTGTGTCTCCCCACTTGTAGGCCTGCGTTATGTTGTTACATTGACAGTGGCCCACGTGCCTTACACGATATGTATCAAGCGCGTGTCAAACCCTGCCCCTAAGCTTCGACCAGAGTCGTGGCATTTAGTCTTGCTCTCTCTGTTGCCTCTGTGCGAATAACACAACACCAAGCTAAATGGAGTTAACCAGCTTTTGTTACATTGGTGATAGAATAAAAAAAGTTAGGTGAGTGCAATGAATTAGCCGTTTCCCTCGCTTGTCAATGGGGTTTCTGTAAAAGCCTACCCCTTCTATTATCCACATCCCGGGCGCGGCCAGATACAGTAGTTCTCAAAGGCATGTCACAACAGGCCGTCAATTGCCCAATCTCCATTACATGAAGCCGAGAATGAGGCTCTCATGATAGCCACCAAGTTTCGTACCCCCAGCACACTCAAGACCGTCCATTCGCGCGGCGCGAGTCTCCGTAGATAGCCGAACCAGTGCTCGCGTTCCCGACCACCGCCAACGGCATCTTGTTGATCACCACTGCAGGTCTCCAAGTTTCATAGGCACACGAAGCATGCGGTGCCCAGAAGCCGTTGGTTGTGGCAGCTTGCCAGCACGGATGTTTGTCTGCAGAGACTGATGAAGTAGCTTTGGCTCACCGAGCTTAGCATCGCGCTCTTTGCGTTGCGCAACGAATTCCTCTTCGGTGATACCGTCCCGCAAGTGTTTGTTTAGCTTTCTGTGGTCGCTGACTGTCATCCATGGCACCGGACTTTCTCTATCGTCCGGAGGATAGTCATGACCTGTCCAAACTTTGACGTGATCTGGAAGACTAAGAAGCCTGCGGCCCGAGTGATAAAGGTTGTTGGCGCTTCCCCCAGGAAAATCACATCGAGCAGTCCCAATGTCCACGTGGAAAAGAGAGTCACCGCAGAACACATTGTCTTGTCAAGAACATCAGCAAAAGTAAACATGATGGCGGGGCGTCCCTGGGGCCTTACCTCCGATCTTATAGCCCAGATGGTCGGGCGTATGCCCGGGGAGATGAATGGCAGTTGCGCTCAGGTTACCAATGCTAAAAGTCTCATCGTCTTCAAAGAGTTTGTCAAAAACACCATGACGCTCTTGGCTGGGCACGTCATATCGTTGGCCGAATAAATCTTGTACCTGTCCGATGCGCCGTCCGATGCCGATCTGTGGCTTGTTACCATGCTCCTCTGCGATGCGCTTCTGTAGGTACGAAGCTGCAGTGAGGTGATCTGCATGTGCATGAGTTTCTAGAATCCGCAAGACTCGGTAGCCCTTTTCCTTGACCAGTCGAAGCAACTCGTCAGCTGAAGAAGTGGTGATAATCTGAGTTGTGCGGTCATAATCCAAGACCGGGTCAATGATGACAGCCGCTTTCGTCGCTGGGTCTGCAACGACGTACTGCCAGGTTCCTGTCCTTGACTCGAAGACATCGTGAATGACAGGTTGTGTGGTATCGACAGGGGCTGTGCTGTATGAGTATCTTCCGGACTGACTTATCGCATTTGAGATATTCCGCCGTTTCGAGAGGGGTGTTGCAAAGCCGCTACTTGGTAACATGGCATACCGACGCGCAATGAGGACATCTGGATGGACGGCCCTGGTTGCCCTAGTGTCGTGCACAGCACGCACCTGAGGGCTGCAAGTTCTCTGGGACAGTGGTGATTTTGCAATCCCTGGTGTCGATGATAGACAGCCCGACTGAACTTGTCTATTCACACTTACGCGCACGGGATTCATGTTAAAGGTCGAACCGCGACAGTCAATAGAGGAGAGAGCGAGTGGGGTTTGGCGATGCAAGCTGATGGAGGCAATGATGCAACTAAAAGTCGGAGGATGCACAATGTAAATAGACCGAGTGGTGGGGGGGTCAATCTGCCGAAACCTTTAATACTGAGAGCAGTTCAAAGAAAGTTTAAACATCGAACGAGATCCCCACTGCAACCCGGCGGCTCCCGTGCCGGTCGGGGAGTTGTAAATGAAATCGGCGACCATTCTCGCCGACTAGTCTCGCCGACAAGCCGGCCGGCCGGTGCGGCTCTTTGAACGAAGAAACACCAACTGGATGTCAAGCCTGGGAACGAGCAAGTTTTCTTTAGCAGACGCTTGCGGCTATCGGGGGATGCTCGGCGCGGCTTGCAATCCTGACAATTTGACTCGTCTGTTGGCTCCGACAGTGGAGTGGCCCCGCACCTCTTTTTAAGCTTCGGCGTTTTCATTTTCCATTCGGCGCACCCCGTTTCTTTTCAGGCGCCATACTTACTTGAGTTGGCTCATCTCTTTGCTTTATCATCACGACAACTCGTGGTCCAACCCTCCCCCAAGAAAAAAAAAATACCGCCATCACCTATTCTGCACACTCTTCACAGCATTCCTTCTCCATTTGCTTCGAAATGCTTGCCAGTCGCGCGACTTTGGCATCGCGCTATGCCGGCCGCGCCCGGATTGCTGCAAAGGCTTCTGAGATTCGGAATCTCGCGACAGTAGCCCCCGTGAGCTCAGCTGCTCGGAACCACAAAGTTGTTGTCGTCGGAGGAGGCAGCGCAGGTCTGACCATCAGCCACCAGCTATTGCGTTCCGGCCGGTTTTCTCAAGATGATATTGCTGTCGTCGATCCGGCCGAATGGCACCACTATCAGGCAGGCTGGACGTTGGTCGGCGGTGGCCTCAAGTCAAAGCAAGAATTGCGAAGGCCGCTCGAGAGCCTGGTTGACCCCAAACTCAAGTTTTACCAGCAGGGAGTAAGCTCCTTCAACCCCGAGGAGAACAACATCAAGCTTGGAAATGGCGATGAGCTTGGCTACGAGCAGCTCGTTGTCGCTCCTGGTATCAACATCGATTACGGTAGCGTCAAGGGCTTGCCCGAGGCTCTTGCAGACCCCGATTCCCTTGTGTCTTCCATTTATGGCTATGACACTTGTGACAAGGTATTCGGCACCTTCGGAAGACTTCAGAAGGGAAACGCAATCTTTACACAACCCGCCGGCGTGATCAAGTGTGCTGGCGCTCCCCAGAAGATCATGTGGCTTGCCCTCGACCACTGGAAACGCGCCGGCCTGTATAACCCTATCGACCCTGCAAGCTCGCCCATTAAGATCAGCTTTGCCACTGGCCTTCCCACTATGTTTGGCGTCCCCAAATACAGCGCAAAGCTTGAGGAATTGCGCAAGGAAAGGGGTGTCGAGGGACTCTTTCAGCACGATCTCCTCTCCGTGGATGGTAATACAGCCACCTTCGGCCGTCCGGATGGAAAGGAAAAGGTCACAAAACAATTTGACCTCATGCATGTCGTCCCGAAGATGGGGCCCCATGCTTTCGTCAAGAGCAGCCCTCTCGCCGATGCTGCTGGCTATGTCAGTGTTGATCAAGCAACAACCCGACACACCAAATTCCCCAATATCTGGTCAGCAGGTGATGCATCTAGTCTCCCCACCTCCAAGACTGCTGCCGCAATCACATCTCAGGCCCCCATCCTTGTCAGCAACCTGCTGCGGTCGTTGGACGGCGCGGAGCCTCAACCTTCGTACGATGGCTACACCTCTTGCCCAATTCCTACAGAGTATGGTAAACTATTGCTTGCTGAGTTCAAGTATGGGGGAGTTCCCAAGGAGACTTTTGGCGACCTTATTGGATTCGATCAAGCAGTCCCCAGACGTGCGTTTTACCACTTGAAGAAGGACTTTTTCCCGTGGGTTTACTACACCTCCATGGTGAAGGGAACTTGGGGTGGCCCTAACGGCTGGCGAAACTGATCTCGCTTTCCGAGCATGTGTTTCCTGTACTAGCTATGTATTCCTAGGGGTAGAATGGCGGCAAAAGTCTTGAATACGCGCGGTTTCCGAACGATTCTACGGCCTCTATACTGGCTGTGTGATTCAGTTGCCCGGGGATGTGGATCTCAACCCCGTACTTTCAGACTTTCACCCCGATCCAAGCTATGATCATGTCGACAATGCGTTCTTCTGTGTAATTCCAACCTTAACATGGTTTCCTGGTGTCCCAGTCTAAGTAAGCACAGCTTTCTGCCACTGGATACTTGCTAGCCATATTCTCAATCGGCGCGAGCAGTTGTTACAATTCAAAAAGGCGCCAACTGATCAAGATGGCTTATTTAGATCGACAATTCGCCATCATAACAACACCATTTATGAAACGACTACCTTGGTGTGTATCATTTCATGTAAGGAATGTACCATGAAGAACCTCACATTCTCGACAAATGGTCCACATTGATATTGAAATAGGGGTCCTTGGGGATCTCTCTTACCCAGGGAATGGCACCGGTCTGGGAACCGCCGAAGGACCACGCCTGTACAAAAATAACAACTGATTCTAAGTCCTTGTTGCTGAAGGAGGTGCTTGAGGATTGTATTGCGGCTCCGTCTCCCGTTTCCGCGCTGTCTATCGTCGCTACGAAATCAACCAAACAAATCCAATCGCCGCCGCCGAACACTTGACCTCGCCACACAAACAAACAGTTGGCCATGCTGATATCTTCCAAGACGACACGATCGGTTACTGGCGGGGTGTCGCATTAGCAATATACCCAGTAATGATGATATCATCGATGTGATCAACTTTGCACCACAGTCCGTCCCGCCCTGGCATTTAGCACATATCCGGAACTCATGAGAATCAGCGTACCCGTTTTCTCCCGAGGGACATGCAAATACATGACAGCCCGAATCACCATTGGGAAACTTATCGTCGATGATTATGCTAATAGCACTCTTGCAAAGGACATCGTATTTGTTGGTCTCAGGCAGACAGAAACGCTCTTCCCATCCGGCGTCGATCTGAACTATGACCCCCAGTTGCTTGGAGAAGAGGCTGGCAATCCTGTATATCTGAATGAGAAAAGACACATTGACTTCAGTGTGGCGTTTGACAACCAGACAACCAGCGGCAAACTGCTTCAAGTCCAGTCATCGAGTAGCAACGAGAATGTCACTGTGCCGCAACCGGTCACCTCAGCTCTCCCATCAGAATACCGAAACCGCACACCAGTCCGCTTGGAGATTGTGGCAGCATCGAACACGACGCATTACATATTCCTTGCTGGTTTTCCAGATTTGTGCAAACACGAAGCTGTTCACATGATAACAATCGGGCATGCGGGAGCAAGTTTAGTGAGCGATGGATACACGGAGGTTGTCGTTGGGGTATATGGAACCACTAACGGTCAAACTATCGAACGAAAGTCAGCAGCATACGTCAGTAGATGGAGGTACTCTGCAGAGGATAGTGTATAGACTATGATTTCGTGGTACAGGACATTCGTGATTTTCCTGTCAACAAGCGCTTAGAGGGAAGCGCAAACACTCATTTTTGGACGACTAAGTGGCCTGATTACTAGGCACGGTAGATGTCAATTGAGGGCTGATTCTGGGATTATTATATTTTGGCACAATACCAGGCTCAACTTTGACAACAGGCACTGATACCTATCAAGCCCTGCTTCAGTTTGCCTGATAAGCCGGGTTTTCTTCTCCATATTGCAGCACCATATGGCGACAACAATGCCGCATTGGGACGACACAAACCCCAAACCAATCTGTGACTTGTTGTCCCAGGCAAGTTGTGACCAACAACGAAAAATAGCCCCGCCGATATCGAATGTGACAAACATGCGAACTTCGTTGGTGCATCAGGCGGCCAAATTTCTATTCGCGCGGGGAAACAACCGTGCCCACCCAACAGCCTGTGGACATGGGTTTCTCTGAGTGTTTGATGCAGAAAGGCGGCGCTGCATGCGCCAAAAAGAGGACCAACACCGGCCGTATATTGGTCCACCCGCCATTACAACTCTGTCGTTCTCCTCTGCCACTTCTCTTTCTCTTTTTCATACCTTCAGCTTTTTCTCTGCACTGAGATTCCGCAACACAACCAATCATGGCCAACCCACCTCAGGATTTTGAGGTCCAGATCGCTGCTGATGAGGAGGTTCGTTGACACACCGCACCATCAGTGACATACTTTGTGTCCAGTCTAATTGAACTTCTACAGCAAGATGATTCTCGTTCGGAGATGGGAACCGTGAGTGTGGTCATTTCTGCAAATCATTGATGCTGCAGACACTGAATTCGTACCAGAGCATTGCGTCCTCTAGTACTAGTCTACGCAGCTCACTTCTAGACTATCGCCGTGAGAATGGCCGGACTTATCATCGATACAAGGATGGAAGTGGGTTTTGAGATTGACTCAATCAGTTGGGTTGCTAAAGTTGTGCTATAGAATATCAATTCCCGAACGATGAACGGGAGCTTGACAGACTTGGTATCGATCTTCATCTATGATCGTTGGTTTGGCATTTCGCTAATCAGTGCTCTAGATTTGGTTAATCACCTATGTCTTCTCACGCTGGACGGCGAGCTTGGCATCGCACCACCCTGTAGAGAAGACGCCAAAGTTGGCCGCGTTCTTGATGTCGGTACAGGCACGGGCATCTGGGCGGTTCAGTTTGGCGATGACCACCCAGAGGCCGATATTTTGGGTATCGACCTTTCCGCCACTCAGCCTAGTTGGTATGTTTCAATCAAAGTCGGTGTCCACATAGCGAGCATTAATGTAAATATCCCAGTGTGCCTCCTAATGTGAGGTTCGAGGTCGATGACATCGAAGACGAGTGGACATTTTCACAACCCTTTCAATATATCCACAGCCGCTTCATGACGTCTAGCATCAGAGACTGGAGACTTTTCTTACAAAGATGCTACGAGTAAGTCTCCATCACTTCGAAAATCAAAATCACAAGACCAAACGACGAGGCTTGTAGCTGACCGGCGCGAACATAGTAATCTTGAGCCTGGTGGCTATGTTGAGCTTCAGGAAACCGCTATTTTTGCTCAATCTGACGATGGAACCTTGAAGCCAGAACATGCTTTGTCCAATTGGTCCAAGTATCTTATGGAAGCTTCGATCAAGCTTGGAGCAGCGTGGGTTGATACGCCCGAGCTAAGGGAGATTATGGTCGAGGTCGGTTTTGAAGATGTCGCACTGAGCACTTACAAGTGGCCGACAAACACGTGGCCGAAAGACGAGCACTTCAAAGAGCTGGGCTCATGGAATAACGAAAATTTCATGACGGGAATAGAGGCAATTACGATGGCACCCCTCACCCGTGCTTTGGACTGGAGCCCCGAAGAGGTCAGACTCTTTCTCATCGAAGTCCGCAAGAACGGAAACGACCGAAATATCCACGCTTATTGGCCTCAGTAAGTTCTCCCGCTGTAGAACCGTCTGGTTTATTCTTACTTGCATAGGCATGTTCTCGTTGGGCGAAGACCCATCCCAGAAAAGGAAGGAGCTGCACTATCTCCGACAACAGCTGTGGGTGCGTCTCCGGGTACAGCCTAGAGTGGCAAGAGGCTGGCTACGTCAAAGCATATTTTACCTGCCATACCTTCCCACAACCTCCTTGACAGCACCTTTTATGGTAAATGGCATCCAATGAAACCAAATAAATAAATTGTTATGACTTCGACATTGAAGATTCCTGATGTCATCACAAATTTCATTAGTAAATGGTGCCAAAGGCCTCTATCAATACACATAGATTGCATTTAGCTAGTAAGCCCCCTGGTAGAGCGTCTAGCGTACTCTAACGGTCTGCAATCTGGGATTTGGGGTAATGAGAAGCATAGATGGCTGGTCTGGGCAACGACGCTGCCGCTAAGAACGCTAAGTCCTTCGAAAAAATAATTGGTAGTTGTTGGATTATAGCAGTCGGCAGAAAAAGAGGATATGGGAGGCGGACAGGGCTTATATAAATGAATCTCCCACCTACATCTGGCCTCTATATGAGTCGTGGGCTTTGCCCAGTTCCTCCTTCTGAACCTCGCGCAGCATCAATAAAAGTAATTGTTGACCTACATCTCACCGTATGCTTGCTACTGCTGATGTGTATTACCAACAGTAGTCGACATGAGTTCCGGAACATCGTGAAATTAACAGATGAACCTCACTAGATTTCAGGACCTTATTATCGATCGCATAGGCCCGGGAAAGAGCAAGAGTTGAGGAGTTGGTGGAATTGTCTTAGAGAGGTCTCATGGATGGTCTCGGTCCTTGGAGGCGGGAAATTGACTACTAAATAGCAGTTTACTAAGAATCTCGTCCATTTTGTCAGCGAGCTAATCACCTCTTTAGACCACATGTTAGCGCTTACGAGTCCCAAACCATAGCTATATATCAACGGAATGAAGCAGAACAAACAAAGTTTTGAAAAGTCTATTACTAGTACACATCAGATGATGCTCGAAAACAAGCGCATGGAACAACAAGCTATGGTTGCATTAGGAGGGAGGGACACAAACAGCATCAACGAGGATCTCGGCCATAACATGACTAAAGCGTACGGAACGAGGTGTTCGACATTTCCATGCCTCCGTCTCAAAAGTTGTTTTCAATGGCAGGATATGACGGAGCTGTCCGAAATCCACCCGAGGAAATCACCCACAAACAAAACGAGCTCGTCTTGCTGATCGAAAGATAATACGAGCTACTCATGAAGATGACGTACTTCGAGACAGACAATATCCGCTGGCCGCTTATGCCAGCAAGATGGTCTGATTCTGAGCTTAACGTGGATTTGATGCGCTTGCTGGGTCGCAACGAAAAGGTGATTGACTTGTCACGATATATTAGGTCCTGTACTCATGCGAGCGCGGAACCGAGATCCACAGCTGGGCAACTGCTTTATCGTACTTACTACTTATGCGAACATTGGCGATCTGAAACCCATGGTCGGCCCGATTGGTACCATGAGGATCTTTGCATGCTCGGCCTGCCTCCCCAAGTATGGTGCGCAAACGACACAGGATCGCTCAACAGTGGGTATCCGGTGGGTCGTCCGCGCAGAACGAGTTCAGATGCATAGCTCTCGCACGACTTCTGTGTATTAACGTGTTATCACATCTATTCAGGTTGTGACTACCCACATGGAGGTTCTTAAACGCTGTTTGAGAAAGGGCCTCCAAAGGCAGATACGAAGGAATGGCTTTGCGCGAAAGCTGTCACGTTCACTGATTTCTTCAACAATCTCACTGACGATTTGTCATCATTGAAACTCGTCCCTCTGTTGGGAGGTAAAAATTGCCAATCAGGGGTGGCCAGCCATGAGAATAGGGACGCTTAAGTTAGTAAGTGTAGCGGCTGCCAACAGCAGGCGTCCATTTGCGCTATCCCGGTTGCTTACTAATGTATGACTTCGTATCATAAAGCGAGGATCTAAGTGGAAGACATATATAGTAGAAAGTGGCTTGATTCCTCTAAGTGAGGGAGCCTTAAGGGGTCGTATCTAAATACTATATGAGGTGGGCAGTCGTCTCGTAGTAAGCGGTATCGTATGGCAGTATATGGGCAGCGCTATATGTGGCGTTGCGACACTTCGCAAGATTGAATTTGGTTAAGCTGCTTGTTAACTCGTTTGGCTGCTCTACGTATGATGGTTCCGGCCTCTGATTCGGAGGTGAGCGAGGAGGAGCTGGAGAATTTGGAGAATAAGGCTCGTAAATTATGATATCGGTGATATCTTCGCGCTGGGTCATAAGTAAGTACGCATTTGTAAATCTCCGTTCGAGTCACGGCAAGTCTATAAATTTGTCGCTATTTAAAGAAAGTAGCCTGGATATATTTGTATAACGCAGTTGTCTCTATAAACATAGTACCGAGCTCATGGTGTTTAGCACGGACTAGTGTTTTTTTCTTATGAGCTACGAATAAGACGCTGCAATTACTGCCTAAACAGTGTCCCAGAACTTGGCGGCAGTTCTAGCTTATGTTACTGTCGGATTTGCTGACGCGGCGCCTATTTCTGGCTGTGCTAATAAACTAATTGAGGATCGTTACGAATTGATGGGACTATATAGAGGAAATCTGAGTTGAGCTAGATCTTGTTATAGTGTTGTTACTTGCAAGAGTCCGCTATAAGAGCGGTTGTTGCTATAGCGCCGAATCCCACGAAGACAACATTATGCATCTCTTAGAAAGCATAACCTATTCGGTGATTGCCCTTGGTGCTGAGTCCTTGTCTCTGGAAGGAGTTGAGCCTTCTCGTCTGTAGTCAAATCATTACTGGCTCTAGGCACTTTCCCCTAGATTGCTAGAATTAGGAAACTGACGGCTGCGGCACCCACCCCGAACCAAATTGTGTTCTTGTAGCTCTTCTCTAACCCTGAATTGCCGAATGTTGATGATTAAATGACCCCTGACAAACCAAAGACGATAGCTACACCCAGCTGTAGTATAGAATTAACTACACTCCTAGCCAGCCCTTGTTGCGATGTAGGAAACGCCGTGGTTACAAAAACTGTTATCAAGATTGTTGACAGATCAATTCCCACCGTGCTCAAAACCACTACCGGAAAGACCTATGCCCAGTAGCTTCCTCTAGGCGGGGTTAGGGCTATAAGAAGCTGCGAACCTACAGCATTCAGACCGGATATGACCAATAGCACATGCCCTGGAACCAGGTGCAAGATGAAACCTTCGATAACGCTAAGGATGAGACCAGCAACGCCAAGGGGTGTATACCACGCTACCATCTGTAACGGACTTGCAGACATGATGTCTTGAAAGTAGAGTGTGCCAAATACAGAAAAAATCCCCCAGGTGCCGTATAGCAGAAAGAGGGCCACAAGAAGAGGGCTCATCCGAGGAGTCGTGAAGATCGAAGCCGGTAAGAGAGGTTGAGGAGAGACGCGCGTTTCGGAATAGCCTGCAGTAAGGAGTGACAAGACACCAAGGGAAAGAGAAGCTGAAACATATGGCGTTCGCCATCCCGTAGGGGCGTGTGCTGATTGTAAGACCGAGAACACGACAAGAATGAGGCCGCACAAAATGGTCATGGCGCCAGGGTAGTCCATTTTGGCTTCGCTTGGGGGTTGGTCTGTTGAGTACAAACGCGGAACGGACAAAAGTGAAGTTAAAAAGTGAAGTTAACAACGTCAATGCTGTCAAAATGGCGCCGATCCAGAAGTATAACCCCCATAGCTTGAATTGACCCACGATACCTGCCACAAGAATGCCGACGAAAAAGTCGAGTATTGCTGAAGTGCCGTACACTGCGAAGACGAGGTTCTTGCGTGGCCCAGGACGGTGCAACGATCCCATGAGCATGACTCCGGTGGGCAAAGATGCCGCAACACATAGTCCTTGCAAAGCACGACAGAAGTCAAGCATTAGCGGATTGATGCTAAATCTATTTTTACACTCCAGGCAAGAAGCCAGGCAAGACCGCACATGAAGATGTAGTAACCCCCCACATATTCCCGAGACGACCAAAGATAAGTAAGGTGCTGGCGATAACGAGGGAGAAGGCGGTCGCTGGCCACACACTGGGTCCTTGTGGGATGTCGAGTTCCGTAATCAGTGTTAAGAGAATAACAGTAAAGCCGCTTCTTTATTAATATACTTATTACGACTAGCTAGTTGTAATACTAAGGTAGTAGGTATTTAAGATTTGTAAATAGAGTTTCTTTTAAGCCTAATCCATTACCTCTTAATTAATACTTTACATCAATACTATATATAAGATATCAAGAATTGCCTTAGTAGCTAGTAAATGTAAAAACAAAAAATAATACATCTTATATTAAAAAGGTAAACTGTTCTTAAAAAAAACTTTAAACTTAAATAGATTTTGGCTATTTGATATTAACGCCCTTCATCTATTAGTTTTAACTTTTGAAATACCAAGTAATCTCTATTCTCTATATAAGGATCCCCCTTGAAAATGCCTATTAGACTTACTCTCGGCTTCTGTGTTCGAGTAGGCTAGGTCGGTTGCTATAGGCCAATACTGCGTCGGCCATTGTTGCCCGCCTATAGTTAAAGGTGGCATATCCATTTGTCCAGTCCGTGGTTGTGACGGTCCTCTCTCCCAACCGCTTGGGGCTCCCGTGGTGAAATGTTGACTCGTGGGAGGACCCGTTCCATGGCTAGGACCATGTGTGGGTAATGGTCCCTGCCCCGCGACATATGTTCTCCCCCCGTTATATGGTGCTCCGTTAGTCTGAATCGGCACAGGCCTTCCAGATGCCTCTATCACATGATTCCAACTATACCCAGGGACCAAATCCACATTTCTAATGTTTGTGGCCCTGACAGCTTCCATTTTTGCCTCAGCCCAGTCTGATCTGTTTCGAGTGTGCTCCATGTATTTTCCAAAGCGCTCGATGACCACTGCGACTCTCCTCAAGTGTCTGCCGCTCAGGGTATGTTCTACCTGCTCGCTTGACGCAGATCCTGGCTCTTGGAGCGCTTCATGAAATGCTAGCGAAGAAGCAATCTGGAATGCGTTGCGGATTTGTCGGCCGTTCCAGCGGAGATGAGGTGTCTTTTCGTGACGCAAGAAGTGCTCCCAGGCAAACTCTCTGATGCTCGCCTCATCAATCACAAGCCTAGGACGACATTTATCCGCAGACTTCAGTGCTTTGAGCTTGTTCCTCTCTATCTCTTGCAGCTTGATGATGTTCAAGTCAAAGATTTTGCGAGTCTGTGTCTCATCCAAAGGCTCATATGTTGTTGTTGTTGTTGTTGTATTTAACGCCGTGGCGGCCGGGCTAGAGCCCTTACCGCAGACCTCCCGAAGGGTATATGGCGTGGAGGGCCGTGAGCCAAGGCTACCTACTCTACAGTACGTCGTCTCTTTACATCGTCCTCCAAATCATGCCTTGTGGCCACTACGCGTTCTGTCTGTCCCCGGTTCCCGCTGGTGCCCCAGTTTCATTCTTTCCCAAATCGTCCCTTGGAATCGGGAGGTTCTTTGTAGTCCGCACTCACATCTACCTAGGTGTGGATGCTGCTACCGCAGACAGATCTTCTGGAAGAAGTCCGTCACGCGGAGAAAGGCCTCGAAGCCTCGTGGGTCGGTGATTAATCTCTTGAAGTAGGCCTCGAGAGATCCCATAGGACCTATGGGCTCGGGCATACTGCGAGAGTGGAGGGTCGGCCACCGTTGCCTCCTCGCCAGCGTTAGTCGACAGTAGACCAGGTGGTCCACGTCTTTCGCCTCTCCACAAGAGCACATCATTAGAGCGTCGTCGTGGTTGAAACGTCGGTGATATTGCTCGAAGTCCCCGTGACCCGATCGTGCCGCCAGCAGGTGATGTAACGTAGCCCGCGGCAAGGCCAGTTCAGGAGGGCTGGACAGAGCTGCCTCAAGCCCCAAGTCCGCGTACCGCGGCCTTCGCTCTTTATACCACCATCTCCTGTGCTGGCTTTGTAATTTTTCCCTTGCAAGCCGCTTGATGCCCGCTAGTGTTGCCATTTGACCCATCCGCGCCGGCAGTGTCGTTCCTTCTTTGGCCAGCCGGTCCGCGGCCTCGTTTCCTTCGATGCCCTGGTGTCCCGGGGACCAGTGCGTCCGTATATCAAATATCCTGGCCGCTTCTTGGATTTCGAGGAACGCGTCTTGTGACGAGTCCGGCGCCTTGCCGCGGATGCCTTGTATAACGCTGGTGTTGTCGATACATATGTGGATTGGATGACCGCGATTGGTGAGCAGAGCCCTTCTGAGGCCGGTTCGCGCCCCTTCGACCTCGGCGTCGAACACTTCTGCTAGTCCGAGTCGGCCGCACCCTTGCGCTATGCGTTTGGAGTCTCGGTAGATGACGAAGCCGTACCCCACGGCTCCGTTCGTCGCCCTGGAGCCGTCCGAGAAGACGATCATATGGCTTTCCGGTACTGTCTTTAGCCAGCGCTCGAAAGCTTTCGCAGCCTCTTCTTTGCATTGAACTACTATCTGATCCTGTGAGCTTGGCAGGTACTGTGATTGGAGGAACGTTGGTCTTCCGCATCTTGGCAGAAGTTCAGCCGTCCGTTGTAGTCTCGTCTGTTGCTGTCCCTGCTGGGAGAGCCGCGCGACTAGCGGGTGTCGGCGATCAATCCTCTGTAGTCGGACTGCGGCCCGTAAACGGACGCCTTCTAAGGCGACTTTGGCTGACGGTAAGCCGGCGTCTCGGAGGAGGCTACTGGTTGGCGTTGTCCTCCAGACAGGTAGAACGATCCTTGCTGCCGCTGTAATGACGCTGTCGATCTTCTGCACGAGCCCCTTCTGGCCTGTGTTGACGGGTCTTCCTTGGAAAGGCGGACTCGTGTCTGTCTCCGCTTGGCGTCTCGAAGCCGGCTTCGTGATACCTGCGTACCATGTTTCGGCGCCGAAGAGCGCGATCGGCAGTACGTAGGAGACGACGGCTTTTCGCACGGCGGCCGCTGGCAGTCCTCTCTTTGTGTTTGTAAGCTGCCTCAGGTGTTGAGCTGCCTTCTTTGCCGCAGCTACTCTTGTGTCGACGTGGTGCCGGAAGGACAGTCTCTTGTCGAACCAGACACCCAGCCAGCGTACAGGATTTGTCGAGGCCTTGACCACCAAATCCCCCGCCCTGACCTCTGGCAGCTCCGCTGGCTGGCTGTGCTTCCTAGTAAAGTGGATGACCTCGCACTTGCTCGGGTCGAAGGAGACCTTGTTCTCCGAGCCCCATCTGAGAATGCCGGCTGCGCTTCGGTTGAGTATTGCGACGTTGCTCTCCAGGGAGGGGCTGATGGCCAGAGTGGCGATGTCGTCCGCGTACCCGAATCGCGCGTCCGGGTCGTCTTCAAGGATCTCGCGAGTAGAGCAAAAGACGA